AGAAAAACTAGTTCAGGGGCTGTTGTGGTGAATCAGGCAAGTAATAAGGGTAGCCCAACCCAGAAGAGTGGCAATTATGATGAAAAGAAATAAATGGGTTCTTGATGTATTACGAGGTGGGACGAATAGATAGTGAATAAATAGATGCAGGGTAGGAGGGGGGAGGAGGACTTAAGGATAGTGCTCTTGCTTCTGCACTGAGACACAGATGGAGCGCAAACATTCACTAAGACCAGAGGATAAGCAAGTCTGGGGACGAGGAAGACCACTACTGGTGAATTCCAGTTTGAACTGTTTATAGTGTCTGTAACACCTGTGTATTTCATTTTGGCAGCCAACAAGCAGTTGGCTGTGTGGATCTGAAGCTCAGGAAAGACTTAAAAGGCACAAGGACAAAGACAAATTTATTATAAAAGAAATATAAAAAATGGTGTCATGGCACATGTGAATTTATATTATTGATATACCTAATCAAGACTGAGTCCATTTTTCTCTATAAAAATAAAAATAAATATATGATAGTGTTTAGGATATTTTAACTGCTCCTAAAATACACATTAAGGTCATTTTTAGAATATGATGTATTTTTTATTATATAGTAAGTATCTCCAGGGACATAAAATAATATATAATAACCAGTTGCGTAATAAACTGGTTTTATTTAAAGCATGTCATTTTGCTTGTCTTTTAAAATAATTGTACTTGTCTCTATTCCTTCTTTAATAAAGGTTCTGGTTCTGTTTATCATAATATTATACAAATGTTAACAATTATATGCAAAAGGTTATTTCAAAAGAAAACATAAATAGTAGGTAAAAAAGAGTCAACCATGGGTAAGAATGTATTTACAGTGTCCCTTAGTAGGTCTGGGTGTTCAAAAAGAACTACTGGAATTAACATATACCTGTGTAAAGAGGCATGAAATGGAAAATTCAGCGTCTGAAGCAGACAGCTGTCATTATGCATCCTGCTACTCCTTTCAGTATTGCAAAGCACACAGAGCATTTTATTAGTGCCAATTAATCAGCATTACTATTATAATTTGATTAGTCAGTTACTGAGTTAGCAAATGTCTTCAGAGGGGCAATGTCTCCAAAATTTAAAATAAAATCTCCTGTACTTGGATAAGCAAATGTAATTGTTTAAATACTACAGATTTTGAACTCTGTGACCCAGCTTTCTTCTTTGTCAAATTGAGATATTAATACATAATATAAAGTGTTGTAATAAGAACTAAATGAGATAATCCTTGTCAAAACCCTTACCAGAGAACTAGCATAAGAAAGTATTTCACAAACCATGGCTAGTAGTAGCTAGTGATACCAGTTGTTATGGCACTTTACATGAGTTAAAATCATTATGTTTGGACTCAAGGAAAAGAAAACAACATCCTGTTTTTGTTTAAAACATATATCCCCTCCACACTATTCCCATTGCCACTGAAAGAGGATTAATTCAGATCACCACGTTCTCTTTGCCAAGGCTATTTTAGTTGTTTTGCCAACTGGTCTTTCTGCCATCACCCCAACCCATCTTGATTACTGCTGCTTTATGAAGGGCAACTCTGAGTTTATCACTGCCTACAATTAAACAACAACAGAAAAGAAAACAAGTAAATGAGCCAACAACAAACTCTTCAATGCTTATATAGAAAGACATCAGCAACTGGTACTAGACAATATCCATACCACCATCTCTCCTAATTAAAAACCTGACTGATCTGGCCCTACCTAATACTGTCAACATTCATGCTGTCGTTTACCTCTTTCTAATCCTCCCTACCCCATCTTTGCACTCCAACAGTAAATATAAGCTGACGTCTGGTGAGGGAGGCGAGAAGAGAGAGGATAGGATCTATGGCTCCAGGGGAGGGCTTGGCTCTTGAAGAACAAGTGGTCCTCTCTATGCAAGTGAGGAGGCAGAATTCATAAAAACTGGAGAAGCCAGAAGGAAGGAGACACGGACATGCTGTTCCTCAACTGGTTGTATTTTGAGCTAAAAACCTAAAGCTTCACCCATCAGAAGCATGCAGAGAGAGTTCTTAAGAGAACTTGATAGTGTTCAAGAACTTGATAGCTTGGGGGTACATGTAACTAAAGACATAGCAGTGCTTGTTTTCTCCTCTGTAGTTTTCTAAAGCTGGGGGTGGGTCGGTGGAGAAGGGTGGGTGTGTGCTGCAGGTTCGGACCAGGACTGTGCTATGGTACCGTACCACCACAGCTCTTAAGAGGGCACAGAAGAGGACCTCAGTAGAGGATATCAGGGTCCTCCATGAAGGAGAACTGAGGATGAAGGAAGAGGCAGGAGTCTTGCTACTGAGGCAGCTGCTGGCCAAGGGTGGTGATGCCCCACACAGAAAGGTGGTGGGAAGCACAGATTGACAAACCTGCCTGATCCTCTCTTAGCAGACCAGGAAAAGCTGATTAATACCCAAGAAAACTACACATGCACACCATCTCCAAGGTGTCTCAGTGGCAGAGATACCTTCCTCAATCCACCTCTGTGCAGGCACTAAGCTGGAGTTGCCGCACCCTTCCTCACTTCAAGTTTCTAGGGCTGGGATTCTTGTCTGATGAGGGGTGGGAAGGAGTGAGATATAAATTGGATATGAAAGTTTCCAGCAGGACAGAGTCTTAAAAACTGAAAAGGACCGGAGAACGATGGAGTCTATTCAAGGTATTATTAAAAGTTGGAAAGTGGAGAATTAACAGAGTACAATTAAAAGCAGCATTTGGAAAAAATTAAAACTAGCTCATACGTTATTCTCCATCCTAAAAATTGGTTTAAAAGATTAGGATGAATTCTGGTAAGGGTCAGGATGAGGCTTCATTATAGTTAGCTTTTCCCTGGCAGGTTTGTGAAGAAGGAAAAAATTGGGATGCTATTTTAAAGCAAAGGGAGGGAGAATAACAGGTATCCTTTGCAGCTCTGGGGAAGTCAGAAGTCAAAGTCAGAGGTCTGCAATACAGGGTTAGGAATGAGGAGAAAAGTGAGTTGGTGCAGGCTCCCTAGCAAAGGGGAGAGTCAGTCTACATCAAAGAAAAGCCAGGTTCTCTGCTATGACATGCTCTTGGAATGTGTTTGCACCTGAATACCAGCTTTTTTTTAATAGCAAAAAGTGTGTGTGTGTGTGTGTGTGTGTGTGTGTGTGTTGTGTGTGTGTGTTTATGTGAATGTGTTTTAATAGCAGCTGATGGCTTTCCATGAAGAAGTTTTAGATTGTTTATTTTCTTGTTACACTAGTGTTGATTATTTGAGACCCTAATTAAAACTCATGGATTTTAACGGGTACCATATCACTTATCAAACTGTAGTGGAAACAAGACCCAATATGTATGATGTCTAAAGTTTTCCTCGTTTTCTGATGAATAAATTATTTTTTTATATTTTTAAATCTTAGAATCTGATAACATTTTACAAGAATGAAAATAAAACAATTTGTATCAAATATTCTAATGCTATCTCTACAGAAAAAGAAGTCTAGATTGCTGCTTAACAAAACTACTTTCTACTAGAGTCCTACAAGGAAACCTAGGGGATGCCCCCAACTCGCCCTCACTTCCTCTCACCACTAATTCAATGGTGAAAAGAAATGAGAATGTCTAACTTGCTTTGAAAACTGACATCCTAAATCTCTAAAACTCCTCTTCCCACACTCTAATCTATTGCTGGATACTCTTTCCTCTTCCTTTAATTCCACTACTCTTTTTACTTTTACCTATTACAATCACTTTTCCGTATTGTAGGTATTCCCCAGATGCCATTTCAAAGGATAACAAATGTTAGGTTACTTTTATTGTCCCCATGGCTTCAACACTTCCCAAGGTATTTCCAGCTCAAAGAAACAGACACTCACAGTGTAGCTTTTCGTAGAAAAGGCAGAATAGAAATGAACGTTATTAACCTCTGCAGAACACAGTATGTCTCAGCTTTCACACTGGTAGTTGCTCCTGTGAAACTCAACTGGTCTTTCACAAAACCACCAGGTCTTCTGACAAACCCATGTGCGGATCAGATGTATCTGTGTCTTGATGCTACAATATAAAACTGTATTTTTCTTCTATCATCTATCATGACAATGCACTTTTATGAATACAATTTAATTTTATTAAGTGCAACTACTTTATATCTGGCTTTGCAGTCATCCTGTGTCTTTCAGGCTAAGGAACATATAAAACTTCTCACAGGAGGAGATTAATCTTATTCGTAGAAGATCTTCTCTTCCGATTAACTGCATCATTATAAGGTCTAAAACAACAGAAATTGTAGAATATTTTATGGGATACTGATTCAAGAATTTAAATATTTAATGAAAGCTACCTTTACACAACAATTTTATTGATTTTCTTTTCAATCTCAGAGACAAAATTTCTAAAATCACTTGGATATTTGGTAAAGGTATCATTGACATTCTCAGATGTGTGAAAATACGTATTCTGCAGGGCTAAAAAGGTCTTAATTGAGATGTCTGGGAGAAAGTTGTGCTCATTTAGGCACCTGATTATTTGGTCTACTTTTCCTTGCTTGCCCACCTGAGCTGGCATTAGCAAGAGAACAAAGGGACCTACAGAATGCTTCAGCAATACTGTGCATCTTCAGTAATTTTAAATGTAAATTCCTTTTTTGTTAAGTTGCTTGGTTCACAAGTATCTGTTTGAATATCTTTTCCAGGTTTTTTCTGTTGTTCTTTTTATCTTGACGGGGACCATTCTGTGACAAAATTATGGCACATAGTAATCAAAGCAAAACTATAGTTCACTTTCTTAAATCATTCCAGGCAATAAAAAAATTACAATCATCTACCTTTAGTAAAGAAAACAGGGCTAAAAATTTCAAAAATCAACATCTCAACTTTTGATTGAAGATCAGTACAAGTAAATTTTTTTTTTAAAAAGTGTGAGACAGATATCACTAGTCAGTTTTATTTTGCTTTAGCATGATAATAGCTGTTTTCGGTATTTACTTAACCTTTATCTCTTCTGCATTGTTTCCTGACTTACCTGCAGTTGGAGTGGGCCTAAGCCTGGTGTTGCTGCGGCAGCAGCTGCCATGGTAGTTGGGATCAGCTGAACAGGGTAAGGGTCACCTAAGTAAGAGAATAATAGAGGCGTCAGCACCTTTTATCTACTCTCCACCTGCAAATTAAACTCATGCATTCGCTCTTTCCAAAAGCCTTCTTTTGTGTGCCTTGCCGGGGCCTAATGAAAAGCTCTATTGTGCAGCCTTTTACTAACACTCTTTTCACAATTCTGGCTGCAAGAGGAATGTGAATAAAAGGCACAAGCAATTAAGGCGGAAACCTCATCCTTTTTTCATGATGTATTTAGGAAAATGGGGGAAAAATGCACATTGATCAGAGGGCCGTTCTTTAAAACACACACACACACACACACACACACACAAACCTGCACACCTGACAATCTTGATATGAACACAGCAACTCCTTGGCAAATTTACAACGTTATTATAAAAGGAACTTAACTAAACTTACTTTTATTTTAACAAACTAATCTTCAAAATTGTAAGCCGGGTATCCAAGGAGCTTATCTTTTGATTGCTATGTTATCGTCTTGATTTAAATCACCTCTTAAATAACATCTTGTGAATAAATTAAAAGTAAAAAAGAAAAAGTTATGGGTTTTTTAAGTTATATAAAATATTAGCATTTTTAATATTCCAGAAATAAATGTTTACAAAAGTGTAATATAAGGAAAACAGAAAATAGGACTTTACCTTAAAAAGTAGTAATTCAAAATTAATCTGGAAATTTGATTATGTGATCTATGAAAATTTAGATAAACACACACAACCATACATGTACACAAACACAGAGAAGATATTCTGCATATTTTTGGTGCAAATCAAGGTGTTTTTTTTGTTTTTTTTTTTTACTTAGTAAAAAGGTACAACAGACTTTTTGCATAGAGCTCAATGATATGCTATTGAATATATCTAGTAATGTACATTATTAGTCATTTGAAATATGACCACAGCAAATAATATATTATTATTAAAAATAAAATCTATAAGAACAATTTTCTAATAATAACATTTTTTAAGGAATTTAACTTATGAAAAACTTGTTGAATGTTGCATGAATGGAAGATATGACTTAAAATAACTCAGTTAATACATTCCTTCAAAAACATTTACTGAGTATCCACTATGTGTTAAACGCTGCTCTTGGCCCTATACATAGAGATTTGAAAAAGACTAATATGCAGATATGGATTTACTGATAATTTAATGAAGCTTAAGCACTGAGCTTCTGGAAAGGGTCCCTAGCAGTGTGTTCATAGGGTCATGTGTATTTATATTTGACAGTTTTCTTAATTTTATACTTTGTTGTGATTTCTTGTTACAAATGAATATTAAATTTTGAAACTAAATGTGTGTGTGTGTGTGTTTATGTGTGATTTGCATTTTTATCCTAAAAAGAGTCTCCCAAAGTATACGTCTCAGGCTTCAAAATACCTGGATCTACCCATGTTGATTAGGCCTTCCCAGAGTTTACAATTTAATGGGAGAAAAAGATAATTAAATGATTAGTATAACATGCAATAACAGTTAAGATAGTAAAGTACATAATGCTATGGACTACACTGTGGTCCAAATGTAGTCTAAGAGGTCAAAGACTGCCTCTAGGAAGAAGTCATGTTTAAGTTAAAACTTGAATTAAGTGAAAGCTAGCCAGACAAAGAAGGGAAGGAAGAGTGTTCCAGGCAGGGAAACAATTTTCATGAAGATTCAGAGTCAGAAGAAAGAGTTACATCATAGGCCAGTCCCTGTATGGCTGAAGTACAGAGTGTAGGTAGGGAAGTCCAGATAAATGGGGATGAGGAGAAAGCTGGGTACCAGATTTTGTATGGTTTTATAAATAATACTGAAGACTTGATCCTGTAGAGTATAGGAAATCTGAATGTGGAAAACAGATCGGTTGAGCAAGGTCACTTGGGTTGGAGGGTGGAAGCTATAATCAACTAGCAAAACAGATACAGAAATCCATATCATAGTAATAATGCTCTGGATTAGGGTGGTGAGATTGGGATGTAGAGTGATGGAGAGATTCAAGCGATATTCAAGGGGCAGAACTGACAAAACTTAATGACTTTTACATAAGAGAGCAAGGTAAGACCCAAGGATGACTCCCAGGTTTTGCACTTGAACAACTAATTGAAGAGAGGTACTATTTGTTGGGTTGGTACATGAATGAGAAGCAAGATTGCCAGCTTGGGCCTGAGGGGAGGAGGAGGGAATGGGGATGAATAAAGACTTCCGTTTTGGACATTTTAAGTTTGATAGCCAAGTTGAGATGTTCATTAGACTCAATAAACGTATTAGGATTTTAGGGGAGAAGGCCACATAGAAGACATAAGTTTGACAGTGGTTAGCATATTTTTGGAATTTAAAGCTATAAGCCTTGATGAAACCATTTAGGAGTTAACTGATTAAAAAAAAAAAAAGAAGTCCAAGAATTGGATTGTAGGATACACTATTATTTATAGTCAGAGAGATATGTAACTAGCAGAAGAGACTGAGAAGAAAGGTAAATTTGGTGCTCCAGAAGCTAAGAACGACTTTCAGAAAGAGTGATCAATTTTTTTAAATGCTGGATGTAGTAATGTGAAGGCCATTGGTAAGTTCAACAAGGGCAGTTTCAGTGGAGTGAAGGGTGAGAAAGTCGAAATGAAGTGAATGTGATCTATTGATCACATCCTCTATTGAGGATGGCAGAAAGAAAGGACCTAGAGGAAGGAAGCATGAGACTCTTGCTTTTCAAAGTGAGATTGTCAGCTGAGTGGCATCATCTAGAGTTTCTTAGAAATACAGAATTGCAGAGCCCACTCTACATCTACTTGGGTGGGCAGCCTCCAAGACAGATCTCCCAGTTACTCCCACTTTCTGGTATTTCAGTACTGTGTAATGCTCTCCCCCTCGAGCGTGGACTGAATCTAGTAACTGCCTTCTAATGCACAGAATATGGCAAAAGCTGTGAGGTTTACTTTTGAGATGAGGTTACAAAAAAGACTCTGGCTCTGTCTTGCTTGCCCCTGCCTCCAACTCCTTTACAGCAAGCAGCTAGGTAATGAGCTGCCCTATGCAGAGGCCATATAACAAAGGACTGATGTTATGGCCAATAGCAAGCAAAGACATGAGGCCAAGGTAGGCCTAGAGATGACTGCAAAATTGAGACCAATATCTTGTCTTCAGCTCTGTGAAAGATCCTGAGCCACAGGTACATGGCATGGCTGTGTCCAAATAAATGTTTGTTGTTTTAAGCCAGTAAGTTTTGGGATAATTTGTTAAAGCAGGAATCATACACCTTCTGAATCAGAATTTAAATTTTAATAAGATTCCCAGATAATTTGTATGTGTACTATAGCTTGAGAACTGCTGGAACAGACAATTCCACTGAGGTGTTTTGTAGTAGTTAGTGGAAGATGTGTGATCAAGAAAACTTTATTTAAAAGGTACATATGTGGAAAAATTATAGCATGTTTGCATGCTAATGAGAAAGATCCAGTAAATAGGGAAAAAATCTGATAAAGGAGAGAGATACAGGAGAGAGGTACAGGAGAGAGACGGGACAACTCACGTTACATGATAGGGCTTTGCTTAACATTTGGTAATTTTAATATTTCATTTACAAAACTATTCAATTTATAAAGGGGAGTTTACATGATTAAAAGCTGAATTTATATATTTATGCAAACTAGCAAAAACAGCAAATATTATTATAGTATGATGATTAGAATTGACAATTAAATACTAAAAACTATGTAATTCATTTGATTCCTCATTTAATTTTAAATCTTAAAATTAACTACAGCAAATGTGTAGAAGCTGTGGTGCTCTTCACAGTGATAATTCACTTTATATAATTTAATTTCCCTGTTGTAAATTAATCAATTAATAAGCACATCTACCATGTGACCATAACTCTGCTGAGTGCTGTGGGAGACAAAAACAATAAAACAAAATGAAACTTGGTCTCTATTCACTACATGTCTATCTTTTCTAATTAAATGCTTATTCAAGTAATACTGACCATCAGTGACTGCTACAAAAGTTAAGGGAGAACTAATTCCAGGCTTCAATCTTTAGAGAATAGTTAAAGGTGAAAATTAAGAGGGAGCTTGGTCTTGAAGATATGGAGGGGAGGAGAGATGCTTTAGGTAAGGTGAAATGCGTCAAAGCACTGGAATGACATGCTGAAGGAGTGAAGAGAAAACCGGTATAACAGGTGACAGAATAAAGGAGAGGGAAAAGAGATTGAAAGCAGAAAGTTGGGAGACTTCATATTCCTAGTCTTGAGGAAATCTGGATGGCAATGGACAAAAAATGAAATTTTAACAAGCATCATTAAAGAGGTTAAATAGTAGGAGGTCTTAAAGATGACCTAATGTCTATCTCAGGGACACAGACTGCCTCCTAAATTTGAATTGACAGCAAAAATCTGCAAAGGGTTTTGGGCACTTTTCCATTAAAACCATCTACTTGTTAATAACAAATTACATGTACATTTAAAGCTCACTAGTTAAAGTATATACTATTCCACAGTATTTTAAAAAATGCATATATTACAATCTTATCTTCTCATTTCCTATATTCATAAATGTGTTAATATACATTTGTGAAATTAACACAGTTATCCTTCCTGTGGTTATGCATATATATATATATATATATATATAAATACATATTATGCTATACTAATGACCTTTGTAGATATGCGTAAGTATATATATATATATATATGAAATGTTTATGCAAGCTAAATAATTTTATATATGTACTATGGGTTGAATTGTGTCCCCCCCCCCCAATTGATATGTTGAAGTCCTAACCCCCAGTACCTCAGAATGTAACTGCATTTGGAGAAAAGGCCTTTAAAGAGATAAGGTAAAATGAGGTAATATGGGGTGAGCCTTAATCAAGTACGACTGTTGTCTTTATAAGCAGAAGAGATTAGAAAACTAACAACACAGGCCTTGGCATTACGAAGTAAGGACACACAGAGATGGCAGCCATCTACAGGCCAAAGAGAGAGGCCTCAGAAGAAACAACCCTGCCGACATGTGATCT